AAAAGGTTCAGTTATTTGCCTTATTTAGGAGCCTTCTTATATTTTCCCGTTTTTTTGTTAAACGAGGTGAAAAGAAGAGTTTATCGCAGCTGAGGAATTCACAAACTAAATAAATTTCAGAATGCTGGAATGTTATTTTTTAAAAGTGGAATGAGATGAAAGTACAGTGAATCCATAAGTAATTTCTTGAAAACTGCATTTATTATCGCTTAGTTGCAGCTGATTGAGGATCTAGATCAGCTTAATGAGGATGTTCTCAGAAAACAATTATTCCATCGTCAAAAGCAATTCCTTTTCGACTTCTCACAATTCCAAAATGTATTCATCGGTCGTCTGAAGGCTCAAAGGATGATACTTTACGATGTTGCGAGATCATTTTTAGTAGATGCAGCCAACAGGTAAGTTCAGCATTCTTATTTCGAACAAGTTTTTGGCTTATCTTTTATCGATAATTGCAGGAAAATTATGTGATACCTCCGATGAAATTTTATGATAATCAGAGTGTTAAGTGGATGATTTTAACAAAATGACGGAAGAATAATGGCTTTTGACGTGATCCTCACGTCAAATTTCACACTCCATATTGCACTGATTGATGAAACTTCAATGTCCATGCAGTCTGAAGGTTTCCGATTTGATGTTATGGTTAAATTCCAGTATTGAACGACTGTTCTTGCTATCAACAAGCAAACTTCGCAATAAATCCCAAAACGAACAAATCCTTCTGATAAGTGATGCGATCAACACAGATATACCGCAGATCAAGCAGCTGATGGATACTATGCATCAAACCCTCTTTTATGTGATGGATTATTTCGTAATAAAAGGTCAAAATCATTTCATTCAATTATTATATGTCTCAGCCAAGGACGTAACATTTTACATGTGGTTTTTCGTTACCAAGGAAGCCCTCTCTCCGAATTGTTACTTCAACATCCTCGGAAAGAAATTTTACGGAATTCTTGGAACCTATTAACAAATATTCTAATTATCGATATTGTGAGCACTGTACTGTAGGTACCATGAAATTTTCGGAAGATACTTTGATACGGTTTGAGTTTCCTCAACTAGAAGCGATCTGATTTTCGTGTACGGATCAAAAAAAGACAGTGGTGGTACTAAAATTCAGAAAATGATGCTGAGAATATCAAAAGATCCAACCTGTCATTTATTTTTCCATTTAGCAGAAACATTTCCATCTTAATGAGTAACTTCTCGAAGGAATGATATGAATCGTATTCTTATCTCGATCCATCTGCAGATTTGGATATGAAACGATTTTATTACATATCACGTTTACCGTTTCGACTCACACAGATTGCAAACATTGTTTGGCATAGAATCTACGTAGATCGCATTACAATCGAACAGCGGGTATGATTCGTTTTATCCTCAAAAGTTCAATTTCCAAATGATTCGATTCAAAAATTAAGCATGCACGATAGCTGCGTTATATAACCAACAAAAGTTACCAACAGTGAAGTACTTGTTATTTGTTGAAGGTAACCGAGCAATCGAATAAAATGACTCTCGAAGGTGAAACGATCCAGAAGGAATTTGATGTAGTGCAGAACAAGTATCGCTCGTCGAACACAATCTCCGATTTGAAACGTGTTTCGCTTAAACTCAACGAATTGCATACGGAATGTTCGAAGCTTTCTACGGAATATCCAGTAGGCGATATGTTGGCGATTTGCTTGAATCAACAGTTCTCATTATTGAATAGAATGTGAAGCGAAGAAATTTGGTAATTAAAGGAGAGTCCCATCAACTTCCCAAATTATACCTGACTCCTAAGTGGCGAATGAGAAAAATTTAAAAACTCTCAGACTAGGTGAACTTTCAATGTCGAATTTGATGAATGCTAAAATTTCAGGTCATCAAAAATCAGTTGCAGTTGTTCGATTTGGAGCCGATCAAGTGTGACATACCCGCTTTGCTGCATGAACTGACGTTATTCAAACGATTTTCCGAGTTGCATTCGCAAATTGCAGTTTGCGAAGAGAAATGGCTTACTTGTAATCGTTCTTCTTATCCAATTCACAATTCACAAACTCATAATACTGCATCTTAGCAATCATTGTTGCATTATAGCTCACAAGAGCAGAGAGTTGGCCGATCATCTTACAGCGAACGCTTATTCGAAAAAAAAACACTGAGCGAATTTCTCAGTAGAAATGTCCTCTTCAAATTGCTGTGTTCCCGAAAATATGTCTAGAAATGCAATAATAATCGGGGAAAACATTGTGAATTTCAGCTCATATCAACGAATTCAACAATCTGGGAGTTCCAAAAATAATCGAGAACTTGAAAGCGGAGTTCAAAGATTTACAGAAAACGCTCGACAAAGAGCGCGATGAATCATTGTTTGACGTGAATTTTGCAGCAATTTCTTTCCTTCATTTTGGAGATTTTTGCTAAAAGTTGATAACAATGTCTATGATTTTGCATCGGACGTTTTTGTGCCCAATTATACTTTTGATGATGCAATTATTTCAAATGTTATCGTTTCCAATCAAATTCCCAACTTTAGCACACAGCAAATTCAAATTCTACGGCTGTAATTGATTTCTACGGCTAACTGAAAATTGCTTTCAATCAATAAACTTAAAACGTCACAACATTACAGCTGCTGCACCAAAATTCAGAACACATTCAAAAAGTATTATCAAGATTTGGTGATTATGTACCAGTTTTAACAGCGCTTGGTCATCGAGGAATGAGAAAACATCACTGGAAAGAGGTAGCAATGGCTTTCATCCATAAAATAACAACACAGGTTGTAGGATATGGTGCATGTAAGCTAATGAGTCATGTTTCGAGAATTCCGCTGACAGACGCTCAATTCAGATACTCAACGAAATGAGAACTGCTGACACGACCGACAACAAACCATTGCAGATAAAAGAGTTGATTGAGATGAATTTGATCGCGAATATGAAGAAAATTGAAGAGGTAAGTAAGAAACGCAGAGAATATGCATCGATTTTCTTAATGATTTCAGATACTCAACGAAATGAGAACTGCTGACACGACCGACAACAAACCATTGCAGATAAAAGAGTTGATTGAGATGAATTTGATCGCGAATATGAAGAAAATTGAAGAGGTAAGTAAGAAACGCAGAGAATATGCATCGATTTTCTTAATGATGAGAAATTTTCCAACAACTCATCCATAACTTACGTGCCTATGAATTGTTTGAGGTGAGTGCTGTAGCGAATAAAGAGCTGATGCTGGAGGATAACGTAAAACTGATGAAAGAACAATGGACAAATGTAGCACTTACGTTTGCCAAATACAAGGATACTGTAATCATTAACACTCTATTTTATTGAATTATTCATCGAACGTGTTTTTTGCCTTTGCATCGTCGATGGTTATGCTTAAATTGTTTCGTCAAGGTGTCAGGTTGTATATTACTGCAGGAGTTCGAGTTGGTAGTGATGCCGGATCAGTTGAGACTTCTTCTCGAAACTCATATTATTCGGACGCAGACAATTCTGGCCTCTCCATTTGTGACTCCTTTAACAAATTTCGTTCGAGAATGGGCTGATGTTTTAGAGTTGATTGATGAATTCTTCTCGTTATATTTCAAGGTTCCTCTCCGAAGATTTCAGTAATGTTTACTTGATCACAAGCAGAAGATGCAAATGCATGAAGATTTATTCCAGTGTGAATCTAAGTGGTGTTATTTGGAACCAATTTTCACAGCTGAGGAGGTCGCTTATCAAATGCCGAACGAATGGCAAACATTTAAGGAAATATCCGAATCGTGGAACAATCTCAACTATCAACTTGTTTGTTAGCTCAATTTCACTGATAATGAGACCCTCATGTTTAAACGTTTAAATCGTGTTCATTCAACTTCAGTCTCAGAAGACTCAGTCACCTTAATTGCATTCTTTTAGCGCACTTTTCGCTATATCACATTAACTGATATTTTAAAAACTAAAAGACCAGATTAAAAAAAAAACGATGGTGAGTCCGAAGGTCTTGAGGAGGCTATTGGGCGTCAACGACTCGCAAGCGCTNCACCCAACAGGACTCCTCCTCTCACTCCGTCCTTCACCATCTACCTGCCAGTCACTTGCATTACAGGCGCCCGCCACGACACCCGGTGATAGAGCAGAAATTTTCGCAAAATTTCAATGTGCCAATACGATGAGCAGCTGAATGAACAATTCCGAGATATTAAAACAAACAATAATTTCACTTGCAGAAAGAGCATCCAATTGTTATGAAAATTATAATTTTCCTCCCAACAGTTCACGATACATTGCGATATTTATTATCAATATTCGATCAAATGCATCAAGGATTCGATAATTTCATTGAGAAGAAGCGTTTAGCATTCCCACGGTTAATCCTTTATTTTCTTGCGTCGAGAAAATACTTTGTGCATTATTTCCTCGCTCAAGAAGGCACTTTATGCGAAAGTGGCCGAAACAAGTAATATCGCTATCATTACGATCTTTAGGTTGTTTTTTCTCTCGAACAATGAACTGATGGATTTGCTATCTCGCGCACGCAATATCAACACCGCGGCTTCATTCCTACCTAAATTATTCTCATCTATTCGTGCATTCGAATTTACAAACCGTGGTGAAGTATGCGCTTTACTGAGTGGGACGGAACGACTGAAACTTTTGAAACCTGTCAGTGTAGTTCTTGCTAAGGTATGTGCACCCTGTATTTCATTCCATCGATGTCGGGTCATTCAGCAATTTCTCATATGTACATTGGTGATATTTATGAGCCTTCCAACCTGAGAACCTCAAAACTGCACTCGCATGAAAAGGATGTTAAATGTTTACACTGAAAATGCTGATCTAGAACGAGAAGTTTGACTGGCTGAGTATCGCGCAGTGGATAGCTGGTTTTATAGCATAACAGTCTTAGAATTTCCCAGTTCGATATTAATGAAATCTTGAAATTAGCCGATTGATCTGTTGAGATTCAAAGTTTGCTTATTGTTAATATAGCGACACGTCGAAAAATGGCTCACGGATGTGGAGAAGGAAATGAGAAAGACCGTAAAAGCACTGATCAAGAAAGTTGTCGACGAGCACAGCCTCAACTTGGTACCACTGAGCGAACTGATACAGGAACAACCTTCACAAATTGTGCTTCTCTATTATAAGTTATCAACAACGGATGCGATTCAAAAGACGTTGGATGAGAATCGCTCCTTTCAGGTTTCCTGTAATCCTATATAAAAGTGTATCGATTTGAAGATTTATCAAGTTCTTAAATCATTATCTTAAAGAAAAGCAATGATGACACTAGCATTGCAAGAAACAACGATGATTCTTTCTTTGATATTCCACTTTTTTCGGCAAAAACGGCGTATTTGAAATACTCCTCCACAAAGGAGACATTAAAAATTCCTTAGCTAACCAATGCAAAAAAAATTCAGTAATACGGACACCACATAATTTCAGAATGTTATCAAACTGATCGAAGCACGTATTGTTGAGTGTCAATCGTCGATAAAGGAAAGCAAGCCACAAGCAGAAGTTTCACAAATTCTATTATTACACTTCATTCAGTGTAAATTTCCATCATTCCAGTCTCTGATCACTTTTTTCGTTCAACAAAGTTTTACAAGCGTAAGCATGACATTTCAAAGAATTTAGTAGCCATTCTTATTCAGGTAGAGAATTTGTGAAGCATCTTCTTCCGCTCAAAAACAATGATTTGATGCAATATGAATGGTCAAAGGAGTTACGATATTATTGGAGAAATGAGAATCTTATGGTGGAGATGCTGAATTTTTCAACACAATACGAATATGAATTTATTTCCGCTTTTGATCTAACGATTATCACACGACATGTGAAAAAAATTTTAGCGTTAGTTTGTTGCTTTTGGCATTTTATGTATTGTTTAACTGAACCTCATGAATTTTTCTTTCATCCTAAACTGGAAAATATATTTGTTTTGTTTGTGAATGTTTGTGAATTTTCATTCAATTGATGATGAGTGAACGATTCGCATACGGCGGTTTACTTTCTGGTCCGGCAGCGACTGGCAAATCGCACACTGTGAAGCACCTGAGTAAATCGTTGGGACGGTTCTTCTCGATGTTCAACTGCTCGACTGAGATTCGAGTCAAGCAATTGGTATCGCTAATTAAAGGTATTTCGATCATTCGCACATTGACAACTTGAATTTCTTCACCGGAAGAATGCGAAGATTGCTGATTCACAATGCAATAGTCATGCTCATCTGCAATAAATTTCAGGATGCGTACTTTCTGGATCAACGCTGTGTTTCGACGAATTTAATCGACTCACTACTCATGGGCTGTCGGCAACGATATCCACAGTTCTTTCAATCCAAAAAGCTGTCATTACAGGTCAGAACGTTTTTGAATTTCACTGATAAATATGTGAGTTTAAGAGGTGCAGTCTGGCAAAACTATAAATTTTCATCTTGTCACGTTTACGGATTTAATTTCCAGGCCAGAATCGCTTAAGATTACATGATAATGAATATTCAGTCAACACTGCTTCTGCTATTCATGTCACAATGAACTCGAATTCGATTGAAAGGTATCGCGTTGAATCTTTTAAAACTTTCGGCTTTAATTGTTGTTTTGTCTATCACTGAAGCTGTCTGATAAATTGAATTCTGATCAGTGAACTTCAGACGGTCACTTCCTGCCAATGTTGACAGCGCATTCCGACGTGTTGAAGTGAATGCTTCGGATTCTGAGCAAATTGCCGTGATTTTGCTCCAAATGAGCAAACTAGAGCAGTCCAAGACGTTCGTTTGTTTTTCACAGTTGTTTTGCGATGTGTTCATTGTGAAATGCGATCTTATTATCGGATACATAATTGCCAGTATCTTTTAATAGCAATACTTATCAGATCCCTCCAGTTATGGATATAAAATTATGATAGTTTGCTCAATTTAGTGAGATGTTGCGGTCCCCCAAGTGAGCGAATGAACAAGAAAATGAAGAGCAATCGAATACAATCTGATCGAGTTGTCCCATAAGCATGATGGTGTCAATTTCCCTAAATTGACTTCAGTCAAACATCAAATAATTAAAAATTATAGGATTGCACGTATAATCATAAGTTTATTGAGTATGTGTTCACTTTTAATTGGTCCTCGAATTCATCTGGATTTTGAATTGCGTGCACTGAAAGTGATTTGTAATGCTTGTACTATGGATGAAAATCGTGATGTTGGAGGCGATACAGCCAGTAAATTAGCCGCACGATCCGCACTACGTGTCATTGCGCCCGCTTTATCACCAATTGTTCGTTTCCTTTGATGTGTTCTGAATTTTTGAGAGGAGATGCTCAAAAAAGCACCAAACTTTTACATGAGATGAATTGCTGTCCTAATCAGTGCTGAATAAATTACGTGAATACGATGGCACATTAGATCTTCTAAGTTCTTCCACATGAGCAGCCACACTCTGTTGTTGTCAAATTCATAGATGCACCATGATTGCCTCAGATGCATTCATAAGTTTAGCAAACCCCTCAAAATATTCATAATGTATTTCTGATATTGTATTTGTTTTGCAGGAGAATCGAACCTTCTCACGAATACTCAGATCAATAACAAGTGTCAAGGAACTCTCAAAAAATAATCTGATCAGAAATAAAGTTATTAGTGCATTGAATGTGTTGAATTTAGCGCCCAATGAAGCATTCATTGAAAAATGCGTTCAGGTATGTCAGTTGCAACACTGAAATTCCACCTCACGTTGTGATCTGGAATTCAGCAAATGCTCATTAGCAAATAAACAGTGAATAATTGATTATCGTCATTTGCTTGATCTTCGAATTGAAATGGAATTGTTTTGTGCATGATAATCAGCACATTTTGAATTGGCCCAACAAATACAACGTAGAAGCAAACTCAAGCAGAATTCCCAGTGAATGCTTCCGCCTTATTCTTGTTCCATAAATTCATCTAAGCCGAAGTCCAATTTGCAGCTCTATGAACTGCTATCGTTGCGAAGTGCTGTGATAGTTTTTGGTGAGTATATGTGCGGAAAGAGTATGCTAATCAAAGTTGTTTCTCAAATGATTTCTGAAGATCAAGGCAAGAAACATATTGAGATTAAAACGCTCAGTCCATCTGTGGTGAATGCCAAATCGCTCTTCGGGTATTTCGATGAAAATCTCCTCGAATGGGTTCCAGGAATCTTTGCGTCAACGCTAGGTCATCTGTTGATTTCCAATTTTTTGCCTTTAAACTTCGATTCAATTGAATAAGATTCAACTGAAGCTTGAGTTTAAATTACACCAGTATCTGCGTTTCAATTATTTGTCAGTTCCTACTGTCGCATGCTCATATCAGAGGCATTCTGACATGAACGATCAAATACTCTTAGACAAGCGAGCATTTTGCAGAAGAAACTTCCTTGGCAAGTGATAGTGATGCCATCTATCAGTGGATTGTTTTGGATGGTCTAGCGCATTCAAGATGGATCGAATCAATGAACAGCCTGCTTGATGACAACAGAATTGTATTCATTTCAACACAATTTCACCTATCAGACGTTCCATTCAGTTTGAATCGGAATATTCATGAATACAATTGAAGGTTATGAATGTTAACTTTCAACAAATGGCCAACAAATTTTCAGTTGTGTTTGGCGAATGGGCAAACAATACCATTACGTGACAATGTCCGAATAATTTTCGAAGTCGAAAACCTGCAATTCTTGGCTCAAAGCACCATCAGTCGTTGTGGAATTCTGAATATGCATCGTACAGCGGTCAGTTGAAGCGATCAATATTAACCATGAGTGATGACTACACTCGCTGATTGTATTCAGCATTTTATCATGCAATGGATTCTCACGACTTCAAATGCAAATCAATTGTTCCTTTCAGGTTCCGTCTGTTCCACTATCGTTAGTGATCGGAAAAAGCAGTGACGATAAAAACGTTGAATTGACTGACCATAATCAATGGGAGCTAAATCATTTAGAAGCAATGATTGAATTGCTGCAAATAAACGAGTTGCGCAATAGGAAATTGCTAGTCACTCGCATTAATCTGTGAGTATTCTCACCGTTCTCTTTATTTGAAAAGTGATAATCAAAATGCTGCGATGATGACATGAAAATTTGCAGCTTACTGAAAATTTGGAATAATGTTGAGCACTCAACAAGATTTCAACTTATCGTCGTTTGGATCGCTGCTCACTGTATCATTTCTAACGAGCAATTGTGCAAACAACTTAAGCAGGTTATCCGACAAGTTGAAAATTCTCATGCCTACATATCATTCATTAATCATGGCATTGATCAATCATGGCAATGCATTCGAAAGCCCACATGCCATTCAATAGAAACACCCGAATGGGCTACGATACAGAGAAATATCCATTCAACTTCTTTGATCCATGTCATATTCATGGCTTGGTCGATAAGTTTCGAGTAGTATCATTATATTGATTACAAAAATACCCACGTAGGGTTTTAATTCCGCGAAAATGTTTGGAGGTCAGCGTGAGTAAAATCATTCGAGAAGGCACTGGCCTTTTTACATACTGTTAATAGTTGTGTGGGTCAAGGGACAACGACGTTGTATTTTTTAGTTCAACACATATTTTAACACATTGTTCAATCGATTCCCACGTGCTGACCTAGAATGGCTTGATCTGGATCTATCGACTACAAAGCAACCTGTTCATCGAATACCAGTAGAATTCCAAATTGTTTTGATCGAAAGACTGATCAAATTCAATGTTCCCGTTCTGTTATGTGGACCTTCTCAATCCGGAAAATCCGTTCTATGCAAACAACTGTGGGCACGGTTAGATTCAAAGCAGTGGAATGTGAAAATTCTACATCTGTCATCACTCGTTGACTCGATGACACTTTTGCGAACGATTTTGCAATCCGATTTGGTTAGGTGAGTCATCCTTAAGTTAATGGTTCCGTATGATTTTTATCTTTGTTGGGACTGAAGTATATCAAGTTTTGCGTCTTTATTCAGATTCGTACGTGCCAATCAGTTAAGCTTGGTGGACATTGGGGAATCGTTGATTTCAGGATTCAAAGTAATTGTTATACGGGTGTGGAGGGCAAATCAGTGCTCTTCATCCTTGTTGGTATTGACCGGCTAAGAGAGACGACTGAAGATAGTGCGACCGAGTTGTTGAGGGCGATCTTTGAGAGGAATTGTGTTGTTGCAAGAGCAAACGAAGAAATTCACTTCTCGAATGTGGTAATATTGCTTTTGGAGATTTTCTGTCATCTAATAGGCGGTCACCTGTTGTGTGCTGTGGAACTGCTGTCCTTGTGGATGGGTACAATGTACAATTGAGAAGATNTGACTTGAGCATTCGTATTGCTCTATTTCGTCGAATTCTACGAAAACGGATTGAATTTGGAAGTTTTTATTGCTTCATTATGAAATTTTCGAATTGCACTCCCTTTTTTCAAGCATTTCATTGGTGAATACACTACCGTTGCAAATCAGCAATTTACGATGAACAGTATGGGAGCGCGACTTCAACGACATTGGTTTCCGTTGCAGATTGAAAATCCGGTTGGTTGATCGTGGTAAACAGCTGAAAAATACATCATCCTACAAAAACTTTTTACATTGTATTCACCTTGACTCGAATACGCCACAGAAGTGATGCATGTGCAGTGAAATTATGCAGTTCGCTTCGCATTTCTCTCAAAACTGTCACTGTGGACTTTTCAAAACACTTTCGAAACAAAATTTCATCGCAACGTTTCAAAACACATTTGCGCATCACCTGATCGAGATTCTCTCTAAGTTTGTTGACTTTTTTTCAAATAATATTCCAAAGAATGAGAGTTCATCTGCAGTTAGCTTCAGCTTCGGAACAACACGGTGAAATCGTGGAGAAAAATAGCAACAACGTATTGTTCTCAGTTTCGCAGTGCAAATACAAAACTTTTACAAAACGCGGCCGAGGACGAATTTAATGCAGCAATGCGACGAACAGATATCTATCCGATGCAAGGGAATGACGAAAAGTTGGTATTCATTGACAAATTTTGAATAATGGCGCCGGCCATTTAAAATTACTCAAAACACATGATCATTCATCAGGATCAAAGCTACCTAACAGACGAAATTATCGAAATTCAAGCAATAGATCAATTTGATTCCATTTCAAGGCTCGGAACTTTTTCAAAGTTTTTTTGTGACACTGGCAACTGTGTTATTCCTAATCCTTCAATTTCTAACCGTCATGTTGACAAGCCTGCTCGTTGATGCTTTATTGTGATGTGGAATGTGGAATTGTGGAATTTCTGAATTCAAAAAGTAAACGCAAGTGCTCCCATTGATCAGTATCATAGAACACTGAATGTCAAAACAGAATCTCTTGGGGATAAAAAAAAAGCGATGGTGAGTCCGAAGGTCTTGAGGAGGCTATTGGGCGTCAACGACT